AGTCGTATAAATGCCTATTTTTGAGATAATTCAGATTATACTGTCGTTGTTGGGGAAGATTTTGATTTGTTAATACTACTGACTGCACGGACTTAACATGAAAAGATTATTTATTTTCTGAAACCTGTGAAAGCTCAAGTACAATGAAGAATATATTCATCACAAAGTCTGATTGCACATCGAAACTGTCAGGCTCATATTTTATTTTTACACGCAATTGTAAAATGACATTATTTAAAATGTTCGAAAAACGTAATGATTTAATTGATTGCGCAGAAATATTTACAAAGAGTGACTCTTCTCCGCACGAGATCGGTACAAATGGAATTCATTTTGTTCTTGCAATGTATGGTGCTCCAAAAGAAATGATTGCATGGATAAATACAGATATAACACAGTACAGTTGTCCAGTCTACCTTCAATATCTGCCTCTGCCTGTCAGCATTTGTATCGTGTGTATTATCAAGTTTAAATATGGCTAGGAAATGAGCTGAACCCAGAAGAATACGGTTCGAAATCGACTTCCTCCTGCTCCAGAAAAACTGTTCAGTGCTGTTTTCTGTAACTGCAAGATGTGTGGCTGTCAAAAAGTGGGATTATTTTGTTCGCCAGTCAGGGCCAGAGTTTCCAATAGTGAATCAAGTACAACAGAAGAAATTATTTATGATTCTATTGAGGAGACGATTGATGCATCTCTGTTCTTAGAACAGCGAACAAAGATTTTGCAAGAAGAAGATGAAGAAATAATTGTTGAAGCAGAAGTAGACAATTATCTATTGTATTGTGTATGTATTGTATGTATTGTGGACACGTCATGAGAGGAGAAAAGTACCAACTACTCCAACTGATATTACAAGGAAAAATTCAAGGAAAGAGAAGTGTAAGAAGAAGGCGTCACTCATGGATGAGAAACTTACGTGGCTGGTTCGGGTGCACCACAAACCAACTATTTCGGTCGGCTGTGTCACGAATACGAATAGCACTGATGATTGCCAACCTTCGCAACGAAGACGGCACTTAAAGAAGAAGAAGAAGAACAACATTTAGAAGAAAACAACTTATTCCACTTACAATCAATAGGATACGATCTGATAAAATTTTCTTCATTACAATAGTTCGTGGAGTACACATACAGGGAAAACCATTTATATTACACTACCTCATAGGTGATGCGGAAATGTGTGCATATTATGTAAAATATGAATTTTCTAATTGTTGAAACCGCGCTAAGAAAAAAGTGCATGAATAATTTTTGTAGAGAATTGTAAGATCTACAAATTTGGTCATAACTATTTTTACGATAAAATTTACCTTTTTCAAGGAAAATGGAAAAACCTCTGTTTTGTATGTTTCACCTTGAATAAATTTTTTGGCACAAGTCGAATCCTATGGAATTTTTGACGTTTCATGTATAACGGTGTATTTAACGTCTCTGCTAATTTTCAGCTCTATGCGAATTTTGCCTAAGTTTTGACTTATTTTTTGTCTATTTTGACTGGATTGCTATTTATCATTCTCCATAAATATCGCATATGGCAGATCGTCATAAAAACGGCGCTGGGCTATTTTTTTTTTGTTCCCTCTGAGAAGTACGTTTATGAGATGTTTATGAGATACAATTTTATGTAGAATTTAGTGGAGAATATAAAAGGTTATATAACATTTTTTCATCGAAGTTGTTTATTTTGTTAATGTTTGGTTTTTTTGAGCGAAACATAGTAAGCTTTATATTTTACACTACTTTAAGAAAAATATAGCACATAAATACTTTACCTGACCCGGGTTGGGTGCTGAGGAATGTCTTAGACCGACGTTTGGAATCACTCTCGAAGAAGGAGTTTTTTGAGAAATTAGGATCGGGCCCAATTTGCGCAGCAAGTCAGGTCTTCGCATCATATTGATTCCAATTATCGCAGAAACTTTTACTCGAGCCTGATGTGACAGTTATTTCTCTACCCTTTGACAGTAATAGAAAAGTCAGATTTGTTTGATGCGCGTCTTCTAGATTTTTTGGAATAAGCATGCCGCTTTAAGGTTCGATTCACACTACAGTCCGGTCTTATTGTGATTGCGATTGATGAACAATTTGAAAAACTTGAAAATTTTCATGTTTGTTTTTCCCACATATGTCTGACTAAAGAAGACCGCATAAGCCATTCATAAAATTGCTATTGTTGTGATGACAATATATGCATTTAGCCAAGGAACGAGTGCGGTAACAGGTGTTGCCTAAATATAAACGGTTGCTATGGTAACCATGTAAGATGGGAGAAAATAATTTCCGAGAGTGGCAATACATAACAAATAGTAAATTTGAAATGTTAGATCAAATAAGCTCTGCGAGTTATAAAAATATAGTAGTATATACGGGTGTGTGTCCGAATGGTGTGTCAAAGTATGTCATTTCCTACTTGTTTTAGAAAAATATGTAAAATACAAAAGTTGCAGATAAGACTAAAAGAAACAATCTAAAAGCATATTTATTGGTGATTCATGAGTGTGTGGATAACCAAACTTATATATTTTTAAATGGAATACCCTCTATTTGTAGATACTTCCTTTTATACTGAATCACACAAAGGTTATTATGGTTTAAACAGTGTTTTCGAAATCATGGTCATTTTTTCGTGAACATTTAACGCCGTTTCCGACAGAGATTTAAACAAAAATAAAATTGTGAACTGCGCAACTTTGATAAAGCCATTTAAACAAAAATGCAATGTGAAAATATAATAATAGTTCCAGAAAAAAACACTTAAAAACTATAACACAAAAAAAATGTTTAATTAAGGTTCACTTTATTTATTGGTCGAAATGTCTCCCACCGAGTTCGATACACACGATGGGCATGGCGTGCAGGAGTTCCATCATAAAATAACTACTGCTCCAAAAAGTCCAAGTAAACTCGTCCATTCACTGCATTTTCGAAAAAATGAGGCCCTACAACGTTATTTCTTATTACATAACCCCAAACATTTAAATACCAGTTTTACTGACTCGGTGTCATAAAATATGCCTAATACAATAATTTCACTTCGAGTAAAACGATTCATTAAATTCTCAAGAGTTCTTTTAGAGGTCTGCCTTCTATCGGGATACAGTTGCTTGTAAATTCTCGCAGTTAATAATGCATTCTTGCTACATACCAGTACGAAAATCATGTGGACCATTTATCCCATCGAAAGATTCGTGATTGAGTTGCAAATTAATCAACTGACAACGACTTAATTGAGACCAACGAACTATTATTAATAACGAAACTAATACAGAATTGACAGATTTCAAATAATTATTTATTTGAAAGGACTTACCGCACATCTTGTCTTTGTAGACTTCCAAAAGGCGTATGACATAGTTCCACAAAACGAGTTGTGGATAAGTACGGCAGATAGCGGTGTGTCACCAACCTATGTATGTGTGAGCTGATAAATCATTCTATAAAGCCTGTTTAAGTTGCACACTTGCTCCTACGTTGTTAAAAATCTGTGCAGAGAGAAGGTTAAAATCATCGATGATGGAGATAGACGAAGACATCTGGTTTACATTGGTTTTTGCGAACGACCAAATGATATGTGAACGTGAAATCTACAGAAACAGAATTCCTGAAGGTGGCAAAAAAAACTATTAACAACGTACAAGTTGCCAATAATTTTGTTAAGGGATGTCGTATGCTTCAAATACTTGGCAGTAGATTTCTCTATACTACCTACCATTGCTACAAACTTTTATGGTTTTGACTACGGAATCAGTTTAAGACCCGCCTATTGTAAAGCGGAAGAGACCATTCTTTTCAGCACGTATACCACAAACTAGGACCGTATTTAGGATGTTAGCCGACAAGAAATGTGCCGTTCGGACTGTTGTATTTTAAGAGTAGCATTTAAAAGTAAGAATGAATTTTTCACACTCTAACTGCGTCGTTGGATGACAGAAGCATGGGCGATATAAATAATAAAAGCGTGTCATAAAACAACTAAATGGGGTTCTTTTGACAATAAAGTATTACGGAGAAACTCTCCTAAAGGCAAAAAGACGTGGTCTGTTATTTCTAGGCTTGAACATGTTAGGAATAACATAACCAGAGAGAAAATAGAAGCTGAGAGAACGATACTAGATTGTACAAAAAGAACACGTCTAATTTGATATGGCTGCATGTGGTTGCGGACTCCACACTAAAGAAGGAAACGTGGCAGATCTTCAAAATGGTGGAAGGATGACGTTTTAGTAGACTGGAATGACCCTCAACGCATCAATCGTATTGTCCTTTTTAATTATTTTAAGGAAATATTGATTTTTTGTTAAGCTCCAGAGGAGCTGAGAAGCACTTTCACGAAATCCGTCAAATGGTTTTGGGTTTACCCTGTATCATGTAAACATCCTTCCTCATAATCGAAACAATAAACAGTTGAGTTACGAGGTGATGCCGGATAGACGAAAACGGTAAATGGGAAACGCACGACGCAGTCTAAAAGGACCTAAACGATTTGTCAGTTACTTTTTTAAATTTGCATTTACTCCGCATTGTTCAGTTTTTTGCCCTCTGTTTTGCCCCAATATTTGCCAACTTTCAATAGGTATCGTTTGTGAACGGAACTCTCGATTAACACGGAATTTCAACTCGATAACCTAAAATTACGGACACTTACTTTGTTATAATGAAACTTTTCGAGTAAAATACCACAAATAGCCGACAAAATGGCCGCTGATATCTGATCGCTTCAATATTTTATGGGCCGCTGCACATCGCCCAGTATTAGTACGGAAAAAATTTGAAGCACGTAGTTCCAACAGTTCGAATGTCATCCGGCTTCAAATACTGGGCATCAGAGAACAGACAAAAAAGAAAGGGTTTCTTTTTCTACCCTACCGTTCCCGAGATCTCGAGTTTAACGGGGAACATAGATACATTCACGAAAGTTCATTATAATTAATAATATTGCCAATTATATTTTCTGAGGATAGTGTATCCAAGCGTCATCGTTCCCTTGTAATTATTTCAGTTAATATCAGCGGCGACTATGCTCGGCTTCAACTCCTTTATTCCCGCAACCTTGAATTTGGTGCCGGAATTAGGCCACCAGTTGCTTGAAGCTGCGAACAGCTGCGACTTGGAGAAAGCGAAACAACTGCAGAATACTGTTACCAGAGTAACTAAAATTGTCGGCGCCACTGGTGAGTATTTGCCAATACGGAAGACCATACGGAGATTGAATTTTATTCGGTTTTTTAGGATCCCTGATCCCGGGCATAAAAGCAGTCATGAACGCGTTTTCCCCGATCAAAGTAGGCCCTGTGCGACTCCCCTTACAAAATTTAAGTGACAATCAGCTCGCAGAATTGGAATCCGCCCTAAAACCTTATATGTAAAATACGCAATAACTCAACAATGAAGGTGTAGGAGTTTTTACAAATTGAGATAATAAGAGAAATAAAGGTTGTGAATTTAAAGTACGCGTTAAATACGATTAAAACGGCAGAAACATTGTCAAGTGTGGAACAAGTTATAATGAAGTGTTGATTATGAATTTTATGTATTTGTTATTGCCACGATTATACGATTTTTTAGGGTACTTATTTCTCTTGAGTGTTCACTGCGGAGGGATAAGTTATGGATTGCAAAAAATTCAAAACAGCTGTTGCAAAATCCACGAACTTAACTGGCTAAAAATTGACAGTACTTTGAAGTACTTTTTGGCATCTACGGTTATCCAAATGATTAGCACACAGACTCTCACTGCCATGATATCGTTTTATCTTCGTTCCGCAGATCATTTTCTTATAATGCTCTTGTAATTTTTAATATTGTACCCGAATCAGTATGACTATAACTTCTTGAGCAACCCAAGAGGGGAAAATAAAACTAAAAAACTAAGTTCTAGCGTACATATTTGGTAAACGTTATACAACCAAACAGTTGAACTCCTTTTTCAGGCCAAATTCACATATTTCATAGGCGTTACCAAACCATTTTGTTAAAATTTGGCGCGAAAAGACCAAATGAAGGGCCTATATTTAAAAATGCGTATTGCATTTGAAACGAAATCCAAAATTATACCAATTACACTTCTCTTAAAATTTTCGGAGAGAATAGATTCTAAATAACATATTAAAAATATATATTTTTTTGTGTGATTGCTTATTTTTTTCTTTATATTTAGTTATGAAGACTGCTAGGGGTACTGTAATTCAATCTGTCTCAAAAGTGCGACTTTATAATGGTTATGCTTTCGTAATATTTTATTGTTCTAGCTATTTCTTTTTCCGTCATATTTATAGCGCGATACATCCTTAATAGCTGTTTCTTGACCCAACGTTTATTTAGCATACTGCCCTTTATTTTAGGCAAGGAATGACCACCAATTTTTTCGCACACACCCTCTGTTGTATTATGTCAATAGTTGTTAGGGTTTATATTTAAAACAAATGGTATTACATACATCTTATTATGTCATCAGTTGTTAGGGTTTATGTTGAAAATAACATACATATTAATGACATCTTAATAAAATTGATTTTCTTTAAGTATTACTTACTTACTGTTCAAGATGGCGACCGATTTAACAGCTGTCAAGTGACTTATTCTCAGTTTGGTTTGGCAATTCATCATGAATAGACTCACGCCTGAACAACGCTTGCAAATACTGCAATTTTATTTCGAAAATAATGGTTCGGTGCGGAATACGTATCGCGCACTACGTCCATTTTATCGTCGACAAAATCGTCCATCAGAGCAGTTAATTCGACTAACCATGGAACGTTTTCGCACCACGTTTACTCTTATTGATAACTCGCATCCCCAGAGACGCCGTACGGTGCGTACAGAAGAAGCTATTGCTGCTGTAGAGCGTAGCATTGAGGAAGACCCGAATGAGTCCATCCGCCATCGAGCACAGGAATTGAATCTGTGTCCATCCACTTTATGGAAGATTTTGCGGAAGGATCTTGGTTTACGTGCTTAAAAAATCCAACTCGTGAAAGAATTGAAGCCAAACGATCATCAAATAAGGCGTAGATTCGTCGAATGGGCCCAAAACGAGATTGCCGTTGTTCCCGATTTTCATAAGCGAATTTTGTTTAGCGATGAAGAGCACTTCTGGTTGAATGGCTACGTCAACAAACAAAACTGTCTCATTTGGAGCGAAGCTAATCCTCAAGTGTATGTCGAAACACCATTACATCTAGAAAAACTGACTGTTTGGTACGCTTTATGGGCTGGTGGAATCGTTGGCCCGTACTTCTTCAATAACAATGATGGCCAGAACGTTACAGTCAATGGTGATCGGTATAGAGCTATGATTACTAACTCTTTCATTCCTGAATTGAATAACCATGATGTCCAGGAGATGTGGTTTCAACAAGACGGCGCAACATGTCACACAGCTCGTCCCACAATCGATTTATTGAAAGACACGTTTGGTGACCGCCTAATTTCACGTTTTGGACCTGTTAATTGGCTTCCAAGATCTTGTGATTTAACACCGCTAGACTACTTTTTGTGGAGCTATGTAAAGTCATTGGTCTATGCGGATAAGCCACAAACGCTTGACCATTTGGAAAACAACCTTCGCCGTGTTATTGCCGATATACGGCCACAAATGTTGTAAAAAGTAATCGAAAATTGGACGTCCCGATTGGACTACATCCGCGCCAGCCGTGGCGGTCATATGCCAGAAATCATATTTAAGATGTAATGCTACAAGATTATCTTTCGGATAAATAAAATTCATGTCAATCGAATAATCCATCGTTGTTTCATTGCAACTTAAAGTTCTATACATCGAAAAAAAAACACCCTTTATATATGGAGATCTAGCTTGCGGAAAGTGTTATCTTACGCGGGTTTGGGAGCAATCGAATGTTGTCGGAGATTTTACCGAACGGATTGAATTTTGATGTTTATCAATTATGAGGGTCATGAGAGTGAATGTATTCGTGTTATTTTGCAAAAATGTACCCAAAATCTAACGGCCGTAGCAAAAGTATAGTATGCAATACAAGTGAAAAACTTTTATTTGTTTATTATTTAATTATTAAGCGTTCGCTCCGCTCGTGACAGATAAATTCGTGACTAAAATGCCTTTTATCGCACTCGTTGCATAAAATACTTCACACATTTTTTGAATTTGTGTCTGAAATAGTTTTTGGCTCTACCAAATCGATTTAATAATTTTTTTCGTGCATTTTTATCCATAGGAAGCTGTGGAGATTACTTATTAATTAATTATTCAATTATTTTTTATTATTTTTTTTATATAGAACTTTTTGAGAACAACAAACTGAAGACAGTTAATTTATAAATTTTAATAATTATTTATAAGTTTTAATACCGAATTTTCGAGAATCAAACAGGTATAGATCCTAAGAATTACTACATCGGATGGCCAAATATATAGTAAAGTTGTAATATAGCTATTTCAAGTCGAGTTTGAAGAAATGTTTATAAGCCAATCTTCAGTTATTGAATTCAATATGATCGCAAAATTAGACAATTTTTATAGTTTAGGTAATAAATCACCAGTAAAACAAATTTTGGCAATGACAGCAGGAAAATTCATGACAGTAACAATATTTATATTTGCCATTATTGTACTTTATTAAATGTGATTTAATTAAAGCTAACACGCATTATTCAATTGAAGAAGAAGTAACCATATTTAAGTGGGATTATGCATGAAACAGTATTAGAGCATGTTCTGAAATGTTTTCAATTTATTTTCCTGCTATAACTATATCTTCGATTTTAACAATTGAACGTATTATTACCCAATTCGAGTGAAAAGGCACAGCAATAAACAACTGCAATCTTTCTTTTTAGTAACGTTTTTTTTATTATCACTTTTAATAAAAACTTGATGGTCAAATTTATACTCGTTTTTTGAAGATTTCTTTTTGCTTAAACAATCCTTTAAATAAAATTAATTTCTTGCTGGTTATATTTAATTCAATAACTGAAGATTGACTTATTAACATTTCTTCAAACTCGACACATGAGTTAATCAAACCGGCCTTTGCTATAAAATATACAGGGGAGCCAATATTTGGGCACCTAAATAAAAATGTACATGAGATTTCCTATATTCCGTTCGGCAATTCATCACCCGGTATATTATTCCTGGTGTCTATGAAATTACTAATCAAACGATAACTCCATTTTCACTTTTTTTAAAAACCTAGTTCAAACCAAAATATTTCGAATACGGAAAAAATAAGACATTTTCCAAGTAAACATGAATAAGGAATTACTTTTTAATAAGAACATAATACACTGACGTATTCAAAGTTGAAATTGAGAAAAAGACAAATTTAAAAACAACCGTAAGTACCAAATTTCATTAAGAAATGGGCATTATTTAATAAATTATGCAGAACAACCAAAAATAAAATTTTAGACCACGTGTTTGTAACTTTTCATCTTGAAAATAGTAAAAATAATTTTTAAATTATAGCAAATTCTTTTTTTTCAAATTTTTCAATGCATTTTAATTTGAAGTAACAAAAAAATCATGTTTCAATAATATATCTGTCAAATTACAATAATATAATGTGTGAATGAAATTACTGGCCAAGTAAATGTAAAAAAATGAATACATTTATGATAAGGGATGGCTAAATTTGGACATATAAATCAATTGAATAGCATTTCCGGTGTTAATGGAATTATTCTGTATGTCCTATTTTTTATTCTGTGGATAAATAAATGTTGTAAATATTTTTTAATTTGTGAAACAGGCCATCATTCCTATTTTCAAAAGTTCAATTCTTCTTTTCGGACGACCGGGGCTTTACGAAGTTCAACGTGTACTTACGGTAAAAGCGCAGGTTTTTTTACATTTACCACATGGTTTTGTATAAAAAGTAGTGTGTCAATTTTTTGGGTAAAATATATTTCTTGTTATGTAGATTAGAGCTATCGAAAAAAGATAAACATGTGCTAATTGATTTTTTCCGTAGAATACAAAAATGGAAAAATATATATAAAAATTGAAAGCAAGAAATTTGATGTTACTCCCGGTAGAATACAAAAACAGAAAAACATAGAGTAGTTCCAGTAAAACCGGAGATGTTATTCAATTGTTTTACCTGCCAAAATGTATGTAGCCATCATTTAAATATCATTTGTTCTATTGAAAAATATGAAAAAAAATGCTATTATTTAAAATTTTCTTTGCTTCTTCGCTTTGTAGAAAACATGTAGAAGCTTGGTCTAAAATTGCAAGATACAGGGAGTTTTTTTTTCTGCATAAATTGCCTATTTATTCACGATAGGTACGATAGGTAAACGCGCCAAAAATCAACTGCTTAGCAGAAATAGCAAAAGATGTTAAATTATTAAATTCCGTCGACATTCTAAAAATAGAATCCACCGTTGTCAAATCTCCGGTCTCATTTATCTGTACTTATACACAGATTCCAACTGCCTCGAGTGCCGTCTAGACAACGAACCTTCAATTAAATCTGCATAAAACGCGCGATTTTACCGATTTTTCAGACCATTTTAACAAACCCTAAAATTACATTATTATAGTATTATTAGTATTATAGTATTACTTGTGAAGCCACCATTTTCTTGGTCTGGTAACGTCGACATTGGTCTGACACTATATATATATATATATATATATATATATATATATATATATATATATATATATATATATATACTCAGTACACTTTTCATTCAAGAGTTCCATGATGTTTTCTCTACTATCTTCTGGACGTACCAAGGCAAATGAGCGCTGCAAATGTATAAAAAATTAAAAAAATTAACGTACGTGCAGACGATAACTGAATCAAAACAGAACAGAAGCATCGGTGGATAAGTGTTTACTGTTCTATTTAATATACTGGACTTGCACTAAGTTTCCCCAATAGGTTTTGTATACTGCCTTTATGACTGTACCAGGTTACAAATATGCAAAATATGTTTATAGACAAGGACCGATATTTTTTGAGCTTTAGAGTTTTTTAAGGTTGTAGGTTTTGTATAAAGGGCAAGCGACCCAAGTGTGAATCCTGCGGAACGCTAAAAGTCACATGCAAGCAAGCCGATCTCTTAGTCTAACTCGAAAACGGTAAGTAAAAAAAAAAATAACAGAGATAACTCGCAAAAGTGCGCAACACGGGACAGCCGGTAGCTCAACAGTTGCGTCGATTCGATAGGGTAAACATTGGTTCAATTGAAAGCAATCTATTCATTTAGTAATCGCCGTTATCAGTCCCGAGCCGGTTTGACGTTGTTGAGACGCTGGATTGCTTTTTGGAGTAAAATTTGTAAAACACAGGCGAAAGTATATATATTTCAAATATGGTTAGTACTTATAATAATTGTCTCCTATATAACCATCAAAAATTAAAAAAATGTGTTGTGACTTTCAGAGAACTTACGATTTTCGCGGAATTATGGTTCCCGTATTGACCGCTTTCCATGACGACATGTAAGTATACCGTGTGTCTAAGTTAAGAACGTCTATGGTGGGGACATTGGAGACCGTAAGAGATACGAACATAATTAAATTAACAAGACTTGCGAAATTTACATTTGTCAATACATTAGTTAGTTTTTCTTACTGGTTTCATAAAAACAGCATACTGCTTAACATTTGTAGATAGTCTTTCAGAAATTTTTGTACTCTGTGTAGTTCCTTAAATACACATGCCCATCAACGGCCTTACTGTAGCATTACTATAATAGTATGGGCATTGCCTAGGTCAAAATTCATGGAATTGCGTGTTATATAAGCTGAAACATCAATATTAATTTGATTGAATAATTCTGGAGCATCCTTAATAGTATTATTTAACAATTTGTATAAAAAAATACTGCAGACTAATTAATTCTCTTTTGTAGAGAATGCACACTGTGCGATTCCATAATGTCTGCCTTTGGTATGTGCATTTGGTACATACCATTTTCACGATAAAGCAGATACTTCAGAAACTCATTTTGGACTTTTTCAGTGTTTCATAACAAGGACTCCATATAAAACAACAATATTCAAGTATACTTCTGACAAATGATGTAAACAATATTTTAAGATATGTTAAATTAAAATATTTACAATTTCTTATGCTAAACCCATACACTCTTGATGTTCAACCTATTTCACAATTTATATATGCCCTAAAAGATAAACGAGTATGAAAAGCATTCAAATGCATTTTATATTTTATAGTCCAGTCGTATATTCTTTGTAATGCTTTTTGAAGTTTTAGACAGTCAAAGTAAGTTATGCAAAGAGTTTTAAATCGTCCGCATATAAAAAGATTTTCGAATGATAAACTAAACCAAGAAACAAATAAAACAAACAAAAGAAAAGCAGTGGACTAAGTTTGGAACCATGCAACATACCTAATATATAAATATGATTTAAACAATTTAACCAAGTTATTATGAAAACCAAAATTGTTGAATAATAAGGAAAATCTGTATAATTAACCTCCACTTGATTTTTTTTGTTCAATCCCCCAGCAATATATTTTTATTTGAAAAACTGCATTACCCTGTTGATATTTTCTGGTGAAGAAAAAACTGTTTTCTTGCTGTTGTTGTTAAAATGTGGTTTAAAGTTAAATTCCAATGTTTTCGTTATGTTCTGTACCCGACTTTTTGCAATAGATGAAAGGTAAGAGTAGGTAAAAAATTGTATAAAAAAAAAAAAAAAAAAAAAAAAAAAAAAAAAATAAAAAAAAAAAAAAAAAAAAAAAAAAAAAAAAAAAAAAAAAAAAAAAAAAAAAAAAAAAAAAAAAAAAAAAAAAAAAAAAAAAAGACGAACGCAAATGATGGTTTACTCAAATGTATATCGCTTTTGTGTGTTTTGACTCGATTTTTTATTACCGGAGAAGTCTATCCTACGTAAATCTTCTCACACCCATGACAAGGAATGGAAAAGACTTGTGACTTGTTACTTTTTGCATCAATCTCAAGTGTCTCATCTTTAAAGACTGACATAATTAAAGGCCTGACATTTCTTGTGTATGGAACCGCGTGGTATGAGAAAAACAACTTCTGAATTTTCAATATTTTCAACTCTATGAAATGCGTTTCGTCCCGCTTGGATGTCGATACGCTCAGAAGTGATTGAATTATAAATCAACCCTCTTAAAAAAACGCGGATATGCATTTTTTACACAAATCTCAAAAAGTTTTTGTAAGAGGTTAGGATGTCTGATCTTTTGAATTCCGTTTTTTTGCGCTCATATTAAATTTGTTTTTATATACAAGGAATCCTCAAAATAATAATTCATCGTTGGCTGCTGGAAGGTTCAATGTTCCAAGTAAGCAGAAGAGTCTTTTCCTCAGTCCTTATTGATGGTCTCTCTTTCATTCGTAGACTGAATATGTTGATCTCATCATCCATGACGAACTGGGCCATTCTAGGTCTGATATAATGGAAATCTGTTTGTAAAATTGTCCCTGATAAAAGAAAAAGTTAGAGTCAAAAATAAAATTGATAATTTTAAGAAACTCCGAAAGTGAATTTTTGGTATCTGCAGAGATAGCTTGTCATCTTTTTCTGCTACTTAATTTTTGTTCATGTTTAACAGTATATTGGCAAAAAGAGAGATGACATCAAAACTGATAATTACACAAACTTGGGGAATTTGTTTATTTTGAATGAACTCAGCAAATTTGAAGGAATCAGATACATCATAATCATTGTTAAAATTATACGCTCTGGTTAAGATCTCAGCCACCCATACAGTTAATTCACTATTTGGTAAACTGATGGATGAAATTATAGGTCTTGAGGGCAGTGTAGGTATGTATTTTCGGTAACCCATAGTATTTTGGAGAAGTGTGATTGTAAATTTTTAAATGAATAGATTCTTCTTTAGTAATACATTTTTTTGAAAGTAAAGAAGTGACTAGTTTGTTGGCCTTTTGTTGTAAAGAATATAATTAATTATATTGATTCGCACTGATAACCACCGTGATATTCCCTTATTAAAATTAATTCGAAGTGATGCTTGGTGACTTGGTGAAAAGATAATCAAAAAAAGAAAATGGTTGTTTGTGATAAAAGTTTGTTAATGCGTTCGTTGTTTTTGATTTGAAAATGTGTTGTCAGCAGAACATATTTCTATGATTGAATCAAGATCGCTTAAAAGTCTATGGTGTGGTCGGGGCAAGAAAAAAATTTTTTCCCAAGGCCAGAAAATAATAATGTTTATTTATAACTGCTGTACAAATTTGGCAAATCTCTTCTCATCCCTTCCATTATCCCCAGTCCTCTCTCTTTTAGCATATTTGCTATGGTCTGATAACTTGTTAGTTGCGGTCTTCCTCTGTTTCTTCGGCTTTACATTCTCGCTTCCCAGATCAGTTTTGTCGGTCGCTTGTTGTCCATTCATTTTACTTTCAATCACTCTCTAATCGCGTCATTTGGGATTCTCTGTCTTTGGGATACCTATTACCCCCCATGCTTTGCATCCTTCTTTTTGCCTTTTGGGACAGTACCCAATTCTCAAATGTTAAAATTGCGATGATTATTGTCTTGTATATAGTTATTTTGGTTTTAGTTGATATTTTCCTCTTTCCTATGAAGCTTCATTTTAATGTGTGAAGTAGTATTGAGGCACTGTTTCTATTTTATTGTACTTCCAGATATTTGTTTTGAACGCAACCATTACTTTCGTATTTTTTTCATCGATTTTAAGTTTTTTTTTATTTAGCCCGTTGTTCCAGATTTCCGGGTTCCCTACTAAGAAACCGATTGTACTTGTTTTTGTTGCTAAATAGTAACGGACTCAAATGGCTTCCCTGCCGAACTCCTTCGTTTACTGGGAACTATACTGATTGCATGTTGGTGTTTCTGATGCAGTATTTGCTGCTTATATATGGACGTTATGGCTGAAAGGCCTCGCTCTATCAATCTCTCCTTCACTGGAAGTGTGTCAAATGCTTTCTGTAAGTCTAGGGAAGTTAGTTCTCTGTATTGCTGTTTTATTTTATATCTGCTTCTTCCTTACCTGAATCCGCTTTGAAAAGGAAAATCGTCCATACTTAGTCATTGCGTGATGTGTGACCTGACCATCGCACGCCAAAATGTCATCAGTGTTTAAAACCTACCAAAAATTTCAGTTAGTTACTCTGTACTGATATTTTCCCAATAGGATTTTTTTTTTCAAACTTATCGGCCTCGATTTTCTACGAAAATCGTTAGCACTTAGCCCTCAACATCATATGTACAGTGTGTAAACTTTGCAGGTCCCTCAATTTGGACGCCATCCCACGCTACGCTGATTATCTGGCACAGTGCGGGATCCAAGGAATTTTGAGTAAGGAAAAACAGCTAACACATGTATAATTTCAATGACCATAGACTCAAAACTACTAAGTTAATGTTGATGGCAGCGCGTTTTACAACTCGGAACTTCTCACTTCCACTATGATCAATTTATTCTTATTGGAATTGTCAAATAATAGTATATTATGCAACAAGTGAGGTAAACGGCCAAAACAAGACGAATACATTCACTGACATAACCGCCAGAATGGACAAACGTCAAAATTCAAAGCGGAGGAAATAACTTCGAAAACATCCGTTTGCTCTCAAATCCGTGCGGTACAATCCCGGAAATGTCGGAAGTGAAACGGATTCGTGGGAAACGAAACTGACATGTTAAAGTGACGCTTTCTGCACGCTTGATGGTGGGTAATTAGGTATTTTACAGACGGGAGTAGAAAAAAAAAGTTTGCAGTGACAAGGCCAAATGTACAGGGACACTAAAAAATATACATAAGGATATTTAAAAAAAATCTCTTTATAATGTATAAAGATTCTTGCCCTACCTACTTTATCTCATTTTAAAAGCTGTTAAATAGTTACATTTTATTTCATCAGAAAGGTGATTAAAGACTTGCAGTCCCAGTATACATAATGACCTAGATGAAATTTTATATTTGGCAAAAGTTATTTTGAGTAAGGTTTTTACTTCTGTAATTATTAAATAAAATGATATGATGGTATAGAACCCGTTATCGACCGAGATGTAGGATATTTTCCAGTTTTCGGACAAATTTGTGATTCGGGTAAAAATATTTTACTTAGAAATGGGAAGCAGTATGTCAGCCATTCTTTTTTTAGGAAAAGCTGATAAAGTTAATCGATATGGGGGAGTGCCCTGTTGGTATCTACAAATAAGTTTTGAATTATTATGAAGTATATAGTTTTGTTAGTGGGTCTTTTTGTTGATAGAAATATTTTTGAACAAACGGGCGAAAATACGTTTCTCTTCAAAATATCCACATTAAAAATAACAATTTCGAAAAAACTGCAGCAAATGTCCCATAAACAAAGATGTTGTGAAAGCTAGTTTTATGTTAGCTCGAAATTGGCAAAGTCACTAAAACCGAAAACGAATTTTTCGAGCAGTGTTTTGTATCCTTAAAAGAAAAATGAGTTTGTCAAGACGTATAAAAATGGCAGCTGATATAATGACTATGACTTGATAAAGAGATCGCTGTTACTGCGGAATTGCTTCCTTTGCAGCCGCTAAAGGGAACCGCTACGGGAGAGCACATTTTTAATGATCAAATGGTATGCATAGATGGTGCACCTTCTATGGACGGCTTACGAAAAGGTTTCCTCGGAAATTTGAACGAAAAAGCTACTAAATTAAATGTGCAAAAAGATGATTTGATAGTTCTTCATCACATTATCCTGCAACAACTTCTGGAGTTCCCAGTCCATTCGACTCCAGAATATTAGGAGTATACCTTCTACAGATAACAACGCTCCATTTACATCCTTCGCGGATGTTTCGTCTTTAATGTCAGGTGACTATGATACAGTTCTAGAAAGTGACTAGCACTTGGTTAAAAAAAAGTGTAAATAAATTAAAAATTAAATTGGGCAAAATAGTCCTGAACTAAAGAAACACAAATTGAACTCTCAAAGTTCTGAAACGATCAAAATCAGTTCTAATAACGGGAAAACTAATTCAGCTTTATTTTTCAAACGTTGTTGCAAGACAATAATAGAAGTAGTTTAAACTGAAATATTTGTTAAATTTTAAAGACAAAAGTTACTAAACCGGAATTCAGTGTTCATTTTTTTTGTCTGACTATAGAAATAAGGTAATTAGTTGAAATTATTTATAGCGACCAAAAAAAATAAGAATTTATAGATAAATTTTAGAAATGGACATGACACGGTACTGACATTAAGCTGGTATATTGTATATTCTCTCATGATCATTAGATTATGAATTAATCATCAGTGAGAACACATACTAAAAGACATAACAAAATCACAGTTAAAACATAATCACCTATAAATTGATTTGTGAAACATATTTCCGAAAACCGCTAAAAAGGCAATAATAATTATAGAGTAATAAGAAACACCTGCACAAATATCCACCCCTAGGTGTAAGATTTATTTGTTTACAGGCGTCACAGATATTACAGAACCTAATTATAGTTTTAGTTTCAACGCGATAAAACTAGGTTACGTGCTAATAACATATCAACTACAGTGTGCCTTGTCAAATTTTGCTCAGTTGTGATACAGTTATTTTATAAATATCACATGGGTTCTGATTGTCATTAATTAATTACACATTACATTGATTGGTACATTACTGCAATTCTACAAGTTCAGAGGTTATTTTGGTAGAATGATAATGGCTTTCTATTTATGTATACGTAAACATCAAAATTTATTTGTAACAATAAACGACACAATTTCTAGTCGTCCACAAGCAATAAGACATTGATATCATTAGTCACTTCTTGCAAACCATTAATAAAGAAAATAAACGGTAGTGGCCCTCGATTAGAGCTCTGAGGAATCCTAGCATTACCTATAACACGACTAGGAACCATGACCCCGTACCACCAATGCTTCCTATTATGCAGATATGATTGAAAAAACTTTACCAATCTAGGGTAAATCAAATTCATGAAATAACAAAGGTCTTGTGATTTGGTATTTTTCATATTTTTGGAGTTATCGTGACTAAATTAATAGAAAAACAATGTTTTTGATTTAATTTTGAGATTGTGTGACATGAGCTATGAGCTAACAAGTCACTATGTTGACTGCTATTGCTGCATGTATAATGTTCGTGGAAATAATACTAAACATTTTAAAAAAACATTGTTTATCTGATCCTTAAGTCTGTAATTAGATCAGTGCCATATGGGCCAAATGTCCCAATATATTAATGATGTCGGCGATGTATGGAGTGTTTCTCAACAACCACAGTTATTTTCACAATTAGAAATTAGTGAGAGTTTTAGTCTTTCAGAAACTTTAGCATGTAGATTTGGAAATAAAAATTTACTGACACAGGACGTTCAAACCTCATATATCAGGAAGCGCGAGACAGAATTTATATTCTATTTTGAGCAAAAGAGATAATCCTAATCTAAAACAGAAACTTGGTACACACTACAATTCTGAGGACTGGAGGCTTTTTCTTGACTCTTGCAGAAGAAATCATAAAGCTACTCTTTTGCACAACGCAAATGTTCTTGTGTCGGTGCCTGTTGGTCATTCTGTGCAAACGAAAGAACGCCACGAAAATCTGGAACTAGCACTTATTGAGAAAATAGTATACAAGGACTATAGTTCAGTCATTTGTTCTTTAATCTTTACGAAAAATTAGGACACGTTAAAACTTTAAATAAAGATGGATCATGTTTTAAATACCAATGAAGAAAACTTTAGCAAAAGTCTCCCCAAAGTGAGTTACATCAACTTGTGCTTTACTATCTGAGCTTTCTGCAATATACTGGAGTAATATTACACAAATTGTCGATAGAAACACTGTCTTGGTGTCCATTCTAAGTGACTTGATCAGAAAGTTTAGACACAATTGAAGTATAGTAAATGACAAACAAGAGACCAAAAGAAGTCGATTTTGGCAACATTTTAACCCTAGAGAGCAACGTTACTAGCTACTTTATTAGCATATTTTGCTGTTAAACGCGTACTTTGTTTTTGTAGTTACAGGTACGATAGGCGAAGGGATGAATATGAAGTTGGACGAGCGCAAGACGCTTATTGAAGCCTGGGCAAAAACCGTCAAGGCGACCCACCAGCACTTGATGGTACAGGTGGGCGGAACTTGCCTATCCAACGTGTTGGAACTGGCTCGTCACGCGGAGAGTTGTGGGGCCGACTCCTTGCTCTGCCTCCCGGAGATTTATTACAAACCAAAAACTATTAAAGAGATTGTCGCTTACTTCAAACTGGTTTCTGCGTCTGCGCCGCAAACTCCGCTGTTTTATTACAATTCTCCCGCAAGAACCGGAGTTAATGGTAAATGTCTCTTTTCTTTATTTTCTTATACTTGTAAAGGTGTGATAGGAGAGTGTAAGGAATATACGGAGTCAATATAACTCCAATACCCTCCTAGGTGCCATCCGATGTGGGTGTTGGCCTTGATGGCGTAGAGTATTGTCATGCATGTTCGTCCATCCTCTTACGTTACTTAGTCCGGACTTCCTGTTTCTTCCTATGCCTCTTATTCCTTCTACTTTCCCTGAAGTATCAATTGGAGGCATGCTGTTGTGTGCTTGTACTCATTCTAGTCTGGACTTCTTCATTTGTTGTTCATGTGTTACTGCTTCACCACCCATGTCTCCATGTCATAAGAACATCGTATCACATGATTTCATAAGAACATCGTATCACATGACATGATTAGGCAAAAAAAAACTAACAGACAAACAAAATTAACACGCAAATATATTTGGCGCCTTAAAATCAAAAGCGATCCATCCGACTACTAGGATATCGCCGCACCAGTTGCGAGGCGTTGATATCGCAAATTAGTTCGAGATAAGGTTAAATATATTAAAAAATTGTATCCAATCGTATATTTAATCTTTAAATAAATCCCTTTTAGATTGATAAACAGGTTTTCAACATAGGCATGGAGTAATAATTTGTAATTCGGTGAACGAGCCGTCGGTTCGCAGCTAACGGTAGACATGTACACAGGGCTACACGTAAACAATATTAAATGTGACCCAGTGGCAGATTATTTACCAGTTAGTTCCAAAAAATTAAAAGAAAATCAATAGGAATCGTGTTAAAACAATATATTTATTAATGCATTAAACATCCTTTATTGGTAGTGGAAAAAGATAATAAAATAAATTTTTATTCTAAATATGCCCAAAATATCATTAGAAAGATCAAAATATTTTATGAATTTTTAAAATAAAAACTTAACGAGGCCGTCAGACGTGAACTGAGCCCTTTTGTGCACCTTTTTAGGAGAAAGGAAATTTCAAAGCAAAACCAATTAGACACATTTACAATCAAGCGGAGACAGTTTTTTCTACCATAATAAATAGTGACCCCAACGTTTCAACTGATGACTTTGATATGCGACGTTTATTATCGTTAGGACCCGATCTTGTTTTGGAATACTCTGCCCAACTCCAGTTTGCTCGCCCATTCATATTTTGCGATATGTTTTTTTCAGCGAAATTTTGCAAACAATCGACGAATTTCTTCAAAAGTTATCTTAATTTTGATGACGTATTTTTTAACTCCTTTGATATTCTTCGTTTTTAAATACACGTTCAAATGTTTCTCGATCTGTTTCTGCAGCCATCAATTCTTGTTTTACGGACTCCTCTTCCTCCGGTGTTTTATATAAGTTTGTGGCGTACATCTTAGTTTTAAATTCGATAAAATGAGACATAATTCGTCCATTATTCTCATCCTTCCTCATACCCAGAACTTTTATTGACTCTGGGTATATCGTACGGGTTATCCTCCGCATAGTCTGAGATATCAAAATGCCGGAAAGAATCTTTTTTTTAAATCTCGTACGGGTCTATGGATAATATCTCGTATATAAGAGAATTCGTGTCGGTATATAAAAACTCGGGCATTGGAAAACCTTTCTTGAATGTTGTTGTAGTGGAAGTCATAAATTGTTGTCCTAGCTATCTCCAAAACTGACATCCCAGCGTAGATAGATATATTTATAATATATAATTTTATATACTTTATTATAACATATAATTCGATAAGAACGAGATTTTTATTAATTATTGTAGCACTTTTAAATTCGGGTCGGGCAATCGGACCTTCCCAGATGGTCACTAGCTTAACGTTGGAATGGTTCCGTATGTTTTCCATTGTTTTCCAAAACACATCATTAATCATCAATTTAACCAAGTTTTTTTCAAACTCGTTTTTGGCAGCCTGGCGCAGTGCAATGTTTATGTCGATATAGGCTTTTAACCAAGGCGACTGGTTGAACGAGATGGCTTGATGTACGTACCTTTCTTAACTTAGCTCCCAGTTGTATTGCCTGTTTTAGATTACGATAGTGAATGACATATCATATAAGGCGGTTATTAGTTTTTGATTTTCGGCTCCTGCGGATAGCTGCCTTCCGATTCGTTGGATATATTAAAAACCTCTAAACTAACCAATTAAAACCTCTGTAGGATAGGTATTGGGACACTGCCCACCCCTGTCGGTTATTGACGTCGAAATATATCAAGTATTTATCATCTTTGGTGGTGTGCATATATTTGTTGTTCGTTTCCCCATATCGTCTGGAGCACTAACTAAGGCCTCCTCGCATTCCTTTTTCGATAAACAAAATCATGTCGATGTCGGTGAGTAGATCGAGTTTTTGCTTCAGTTTATACAACATGCAGCTCCACGCGTATCCGGGCAGCTATGTGACGTTTCACGAAACCTCTTAAAAACATCTGCCAAGAGCAAGATGTCCGTCCTCATATAAAGTTTCGAATAATCCTGCAAATTTCAACATCCAACCTTCTACCAGACTTCCTGAGCATGATTGTACTGTTTTGTGGTCGACGGTTTATCCTCCAATATGTTATAGAATGCAGGGGAAGACACCTTTTCGTTTCAACTAATCGCTGACTCCTGCGTCAATTCACTAAATTCGCGCCCCAGTATTGGATATTCCGTCAAATTGGCCGCCAACTTTTCCAGGCCGCTCGCCATAAATCTAAAACTGTCGATGAATCGAAATTTAATCAGGTTCTCGTTTTGGTGCCAAGTAAAGAAAATATACTTTTCCTTTTACAGGCAGCAAGTCGATAGATCCATCATATTTTGCTAGGGCTTTTATTACTATGTTTTCGTTTGTCGTTTTAGATAGTCTTCTTACTTGCAGTGAACATATTGGATTTTTTGAAGGAAGCCGAAGGTCAAATTCCAACGTTGCGAGGAGTTAAGTTTGTGGACGACACTTTTAATCGAGCTTATGACGTTCTCAAAGCAGTCGACGGCAAGTACGCTATCTTCATTACCAACAACACGGTGTGTAAACTCTTTATTGCATGTCGAAAGTTATAGGACCCCTTTAGGAAATTTGATTACATATTCTTAGTGTTGTGGTTAGAATAAAAATATAAACTTAAAAAATATTAAACAAAAAATGTCATAGAAATGAAATGGTCGCCGTGAGTGCGATGTTACACGTACTTCTTCAAATATCTTGAGAAGCGTGTGTGATAGACGAGCACCGTAGATACAAAAATTGCAGGCCTCGGCCTTTATTACTGTGCAAAGGAAATGACCATATAATAATTTGAAGAACAATTTGAAGGGTCTTTTTAGATTTTTGAAAAACCCTGTACATAATAGAAGAACAGTTTTTAACGAATTTTTTCGTGGACCCTTGCAAATGTGGTTTTTAAATTGTAAAAAATACTTCTGGACCCCAGTTTCGATGTGCTTCGTTAGGGGATAAAACACTATTTGTCTGATTGATTTCAATTCGATAAATGAAAATGTCCAACACTTGCCGTGTTTCATAGCAATGTTCGAAAATACAACAGAAAAGATGGACACCGATTTCTGTTCGGGGTTATTTTTTATTGGCCTATGTGTCTCGTGGACTGTTTAAAAGGCGCTAAACCTGAACCGTTCAAAAGTTATGGCCATCGACAGAAAAACAGAGAACTAGGAACGGACTAACATATATAAGTTTCGTTGCCAAGTATTTTCATAAAATTCGGTTTAATTCATTTTTCGGAAGTAACAAGTACCTCAAGTTTTATTAACACTTGAATTTTTCAAAACATAAAGAAGGACCACTTTTATTATATTGTTACAATCTAGCTTTTTAGCTTAACATGGTTCTTAGAAATCCACCTGGATTTCAGAGCATTTATTCTACTTAAGTAAGTCAGTTGAATTGACTTACTTAAAGAATATATATAAGAAAAATTGTCATCGATGGTCTAGTTCTTCTTTTGACGACTGCGTTAGAACAGAATTTCTTTAGTTCGATAATAATTTTTTTAGACAAACCACGGGGCTATCAATGTGTTCTTGTTTGTCACCTTTTTAAGTGAAATTTTCATGAACAATCTTGAGAGAAAAAATATGGATAGTCAATTTTCCAGATACTTAACATGTTGCAAAAGATAAATCGACGATATTTGCATCGTCTGGAATTTCAGCCACAAATTCTTACCGAATTCCGTACCGTTTCTTGATATTCCATAAGTTAGGAGGCAAAGTAAAATGTTTAAAGTTTAAAACAAACAATAAATTAAAACATTTGATAATAAAAATAAAGGATCGAGTATCGTAATGCAATTTAAATTAGACAGTCTGGGTCTGGGACTGGGTCCATCAGAGTTCATGAACATCTCAAAAAAGTGCACGGAAGGGCACTCACTAGTTGATAAGTACAAACTAGATATTTTGTTTTACATAGATATTATATTTTTCACACAAAAAAGTCCTATGGTGTATATTAAAAACATTGTAGTGCACTAAATAATACCTCATAGATAGATAATATATTTAGATAATTTTGGTTTATTTCTCAAACATGATTGAAGAGAAAAATATGTGTACGCCATTGAATACTACGCAAAAAACAACGGAAAGTATTTTTAGCTTGTAGATACTTATCAACTTGATATGAATTTTGGAATATTATGAACTATCTCTACCATACCGCTGTGTACCTACTGAAAAGGGAATTATGCCTCATTTAAGCTGGTATATGGAGGCGCATTGTTGGGTTTCGACTCTTTCATGGCGCCGGTATTAAATCTGGTACCCAAGCTAGGGATTGATTTGCTCAAAGCGGTGCATGAATCCGACTTGGACAAAGCCAGGAATCTGCAAGGTGTGCTGACAAAAATTGCCAACATTATTTTAAAAACCGGTGAGTACTATTTTATTAACATCACCATCTGCAAAAATAATCATATAGAAAATATCGCAGTACAGAGTTTGTGAAAAAGAAAAGAGTTTATTTAAGGAAATTTAATTTCTATTATCATTTTGCGCTCCATATCCTTCAGACAGATTTCTTTCTTTATTTGGAAAATATATATTTACTATTTACACTCCACAGGACAACGAACCATCTATACAAGCGCGTTAATGAAATAAGTTGTATCATACGATTTGGTTCTTAAAACTTCAAATAGTTGTTTTTTTGTGTCAGTACCTCCAAAATATAGGTCAATCCGATTAAAAACTCTTGCAATACCTTTTTTTCTTGCTGATCGTGACGTGATGTTGCAGCAATTTCGAAAAGTTTTCTGGTTATGGTATTCTAATGAGCGACCAATGTTTTTTGCTCAAGTGCCCAATGAATATTCTTTTTCCTCTGGATGCAAGCACATTCAAGATGACGTTCGATGAAGAATTTTGACGCCCTTTCTTTATAAGTTCTGAACGAAGTCTCGTCTAATTAATAGCCATTCCAACAACGTTAACCTCATTGATAGATTGATAATGTTCTGAGTGTGGAGTCAATTACTTCACTCCAAGAAATTCAATATAATAATGAGATTTGTTTATCTGTGTTCATCCTCATACATTTTCACTTCTACAGCACAACTTGTGTGTCATCAGCGCACTCACAGAAAGTTTACCTCATTTCAGACGCTTATGTGCCGAGGTTGAAAGCAGCAGCGAATTTTGTTCTGCCTATTAAACTGGGGTCCGTCAGATCGCCGTTGGAAGCATTGGGTGATGAAGATTTACAAATCCTATTAGATGAACTGAAACCATACATATCTATTTAAATAGAATACATAAATAAATAAAGCAGATAATCTGCAACTAAGAATCTCATTACCCAGTTATTTTCATCCTCCCCTTTTCCAAGATAGTAAAATGGCACCAAATGGACTTAAAGTTAGAAATCACAACCATATCAAAATTTCAAATATGAAAGTAGGTAAACACAATTTGTTCCACTAATTTCAGTAATTTTGTTTACCAAACTTCAATTAGATACTGTGTGTCAGTTGGTGCTGATGTCCCTGTGATGTATATAATCTGATTGATGATAGCAAAGCTCTAGAAAAAATCACGGACTTTTTCAATGAAATCGACATCAGCGGAAAAATTCTCACGTGGGGAATACTTAAGCGATTCTCAATTCAGATTTCGCAATGGTTTTGGTCCAAGGGAAGCCATTCGGCACGGAGAAGTCGGGATGTAGCAACTGATCTGTATAAAAATTAAAAAAAAAACGCTCAAAGTATTCTTTCTCGGGAAAAGGTAAATGCTTAATTATTAAACATTTATTTAATACATACTGACCATGTCGTCGGTTTTTGCTGACTTCAAATTGCTGACGTTTCTTCAATCATCCTGTTGGCTTCTTCATAGCTTAACTGAAACTGCCCAGCTCTGCTCAAGCTCTAAAGAAGCCAACAGGATGATGGGCGAAACGTCAGCAGTTTTGACTCAGCAAAAACCGACGCAGGTTGACTGAAACTGGCTCGCATTTTGCTCTTTACTTGCTTATATATTGTTTGAGGGGGGGCGGAGCTAAATGAGGGGCATAAACACCGTCTCGGATGACTAATTCCCATATTGGTGCCAGGTAGACACCTGAGTCGCGGTTAAGATTGTTAGGTTGTTTACAGATTTCTATAGACTCTCGGATTTTTCGTTGGTAGAAGAATTGATTACATGCAAGAATTTCAGTTTTATCGAATAAAATTTTATGTCCGGTTTCGTGATTGTGTTCGGCAACAGCTCAGCTTTCTGACACTTTCGTGTTTTTTGAGCCTAGTTGATATTTTTCGACCGGTCTCTCCAATATATACAGTTTTCGCAACACAACACAAATACATTCACTGACATGACGTCAGAATTGACAAACGTCAAAATTGAAGGCGTGGGAAATATCTCCGAAAACAGCCGATTGCTTCCAAATCCGTGCGGTAAAATCCCGGAAATGTCCGAAGTGGCTCGAATGCGTGAGAAACGAAACTGACATAGTAAAGCGAAGCTTCGCGCATGCTAGATCGGTGTGTAATTAGGTATTTTACAGACAGGAGAAGGAAAAATTTATCACAAAATACTTTCGTACTAAATTTAAGGGGAGTAGGGGGTGATGTGGTGCGCTAGAAATATTCGGTTTACGAAAATGGTTTGTAAAGGGTGTTCTGGCCGCCTTTTGTTTTAGTTTAAGTAAACGTATATAAGGTTGCTGACGTTTATTTTCAGGAAAGTTTTTGCAAGGAAAATTGCATTACAAGTGATACAATCATTTATCCCATACTTCTCTTGAAGTATGAAGTATGAATGGTTTGTGCACAGTCAGTCAAACTGAAAAATATAAATTATATACTTGCATTATTTAAGCCTATTAAGGCATTTTTAATTTTACTAAGTATTCCGTATATCTAAAATTTTTTTTGAGGTATACAAATTTCTACGAAGAAAACTTCGAAAATTATCTTAGCTTTTTAGATCCTGCTCATGTCTATCGTAAACACCATAGGTAGTTATTACAAAAAAAAACCTAATATTTTAATACACATACTTGTAATATATACTTACACCCTAATATAATTTTTACGGAACCAGCAAATGTAGTAGTCATTGATCCTGCGAAAAGCCTTCAGCAATTCTATCACTTAGAATACCGAAATTCGTAGAATGCATAAAAAAGTGACTTTTCGGAAGGTCGCATTAGTGATATGTCGCTTTCTGTCAGAGCGCCATATTAGTGGTCAAAGTCAATGTCAAACAGCTCTTCGAATTCTTGTAAATCCATTCTTTATTCGGACGTTGCAAAAAAAACTATAGTTTTACAGTTTACAAGTTTTGAAACGAACCGATTTCTGCTATACAACTTTCTGCAGCAACCGCTAAAGGACACCATTAATGAAACTCAGACGATGATGGAGGCCAATTAAATTTATCATAGATAGATAGATAGATTCATTTATTGACTACGTTTCATACAAAAGGGACGTACAATTGTGGCAAGTCAGAAGTGATATTCAAGTGCAATAAAATCAAATTAATAAATAACATAAAAATACACATCTAATACAAACAAAATTAGACAGTACTATACAGTTTTATAGCGCATCGATACCAGTGACAGTGTCAATGTATGCCCGCAGGGAGTAAAAACAATGACGTTGTAGGAATTCTTTAATAGTATGTTTAAAATTTCTATTGCTCATCTTTTTCACGGTACCTGGCAAAACATTATACAATTTCAGGTTCAATGAGTTGTTCTCAGACTTTCCCAGTCTAAACCTAGGCCGTCTAAGGACATCCCCCGAACGAGTTGGATAGGCATGACAATCGGAATTAGCGCTAAAGTTTCCTTTCGTTCTTTGTATCTCTAATCACTGGTAGTAGATATAGATGCAAGGAAGGGGCATCACTTTGAATTTTTTAAAATAAGGTTGACAATGGTCCCTATATCCTATATCCTATTCTGCATTCTAAAAATCTCCACAGCAGCTGAGGAATCACCCCACAGTACCGTGCCATAGCAGAAGTGTGAATGCAACAAAGAAAAATAGACCATCAGCAGAGTCCTTGTTCCTATCAGGTATCTCAGTCGTCGAAGAACGAATATGTTGCTGGACAATCTATTTTTCAGGTCTGAGATTTCTTGTTTCCAATTTAGACTATCATCGATTCAAACCGAATCGGAGGTGTTTAAAGTTGGCATCCGCATAGCCCTCTTTACTTTCTGGACAGATTGGAGAACGCATGTCGCATAAGTTTGATCGTTTAGATTATTTGTTGCTAATCATTGACCAAGTAAACTTTGGTTAATGTGTACTGCTTTTATTTGTATTTTGAGGGTAAATTGACTTATAAAATATGACAATAAAATTTATTTACATCTTATATCATACAATTATTATTTATTAATTAAAAACTAAAATATTATATGAAAATGAAAGGTTTATAAATAGTTATATATTTTTTTATTAGGATTTTCGAATTTTCCCCGGAAATTTGTTGTTCTGTGTCCCTTTTAAATGTCCTAAAAATATCTACAAATTTCCCAAAAGATCCTTCGTCCAAGCTGCTGTTCATTTCTTGCAAAATGACCTGTAACAAAAATCGAAAATTAAACGCGTAATAATTGTAGGTATAATTCATTCAAACCTGTCGCCTATCTTCAAATGCAATAGTGTCTACATGGAGATCGGGCATCGTTTCCTGAATAAAATGGGTAACATCATCTGCACTTAATTTTTCGACGATAGTCTCCTGTTCAGCTTTTGATAATCTGTTGGTCCTTAGTTCATCAGTGTGTCCTACATGTTTTTCGACAAACTTTATTTATTTATTTTTATTTAAAACAACGGAACTGGACATACTAGTGGTGAGCGAAACCAAGAAAAAAGGAAATGGAACAGAAATTATAGATGATGTCTTTTATTGCTGGAGCGGACTTAAAAAAGAGGAAAGAGCAAAAGCCGGAATCGGTATCTTAATAAAAAAGAAATGGATAAAATGTATAAAAAGCTTAGAACCAATAAATGATAGAGTTATTAAAATAGATATCGTAGTTTTTGGAAGACACATAATAGTAATCGGAGTATATGGACCATCGGAAGATAGTGCACTAATCGAAAAGACAAGCTTCATACAAACGATACAAGAAGAAATTGATAAAATTAAACAAAATCAAGAACTCATAATAGCAGGAGACTTCAATGGAAGAACAGGAAGAAAAGAAAACGATGCCACAATAGGTAGATTCGGAGAAGATACGGTTAATACCAACGGAGAGGCTCTAATCGAACTATGCGAATTTAATAATCTCAAGATTACAAATGGCTTCTACCGACACAAGGAAATTCATAAATTCACTTGGGTACAAGAAACCAGAGATCTCAGATCAATTATAGATTATATTGTAGTCAAAAACAACTCCTCAATTAAAATAAAAGATGTCCGAGTGAAACGAGGTGCAGAATGCGGCACAGACCACAGGTTATTGATCGCGAAAATGGAGTTCCCCTGGTCATGGAACAAACGTGAACCAAAAAAAGAAATAGTATTTGAACATAAACAAAAAGAACAAAAGTTCAATATACATACACGATGAGTCAATACGGTACTTATATCAGCGAAGAATAGACCAAAAACTGGAAGAATTCAGCTTCGACGACCTGGGGACAACATACGAGCACATAAAAACATGCATCAAAGAAGCAGCTACTGAAGCTCTCGGAGAGAAGCAAGAATCATAAAACCAACATAAAATAGACATTAATAAAGACCAAAGGGAAATCATAAATGAAAAGAAGGAACTTTATATGAAGTGGTTAAATACAAAAACAGATGAAGATAGAGAGATATACCGAGAGAAAAATCGAGAAGTCAAAAGAATAGTACATAAAGAAAAGAACAACAAATGGGAAGAGGCCTGCAAAAATATGGAACAATATATAGGAGGAACGCGTAATTCAGAATCCTAGCGCCTAATTAAATCTCTTAGAACCAATAGGAAAAGTACATCTAGAATACATACCAGATACTATGTGGGAAATATACTACAAAAAACTGCTAACAGAGGATAGACCTACTTTTATTGGAGAAAACTCGGAGACAACATCAGACGAACAAAAGGATATAAATCTTAGCTTAGAATAAGTAAAAATGGCCATTAAAAATATGAAGAATAATAAAGCTGCCGGCCCAGGAGGCATTGTTCCTGAACTAATAAAATACGGATCAGAAAAACTATACCGAATGATACACCAAATGTTTCTAAGAGCAATAAATGGAGAACAACTACCAAAAG